GGGGGGAGAAAAAGGGAGCTTTCCCGAGGTCTTATTATCTCAGACTCTTCCATCAGTCTTCCTATAATCAATGCTGGTTTGCTTGGAGTTGCACGAAAGGCTTGCAATCTCATGGTTATTATTATTTTTAATTATCCCTGCCCTAACCTCCACCCCTGATGCAGGCAGTACATGGGAAACTGTGGCCCAGCACATCGGCGTCACAAGGTAAGGGGGATGCTCCAGGAAAAATGGCCTGTGAGTTTTGGGAGGGAGGGCTTGTCCCGTGAGACCCCTCCCTATACACAAACACACACACACGTGGCATTACCTAGTGGCTTTGTGGGGGTGGGGCAAATTTTTTGTTTGGGGCAGAGTTTTCCTTTTTAGGATTCTATGAACTCTATTCTAGGTGGGGGTGTTGAAGTTTGGTATTGTGGTCCAGTCCTAATTTGTGGGGGGGGAGTGAGAGAGAGACAAGGATCAATCTTTGTACCCCAAACCCATCCAGGGCACCACTCGACCTGGAACTAGATCCAAAAGGCCAGAAAAAGGCCAAATAGCGAAAAACAGAAAGGCCCAGATTATGGAATGTGGGGAAGGTTTTAGGGACAACCCGCCTGCCCCCCCCCAATTGCTGCTTAAAGCTCATCTCGCCCCTCAAGAGTGGAAAAAACTGTTTTTTCTCTATATGAAGTCTCTTGGCACAGAGGGCCTTCACAGGGGTGGGGGTGGTAAAGACTACAAAATGGCATTGGGGGTACACACCATCTGGGGGGGCCCAACCACCCCACCCTCGGCCACCTTCTGCCCTGATCCAGCCCTTCAGATGATCTTCTCTGGCAAGGTTCGGAAAGGAGTTCTCACTCCCCGCTTTGCAGAATTGGCACAGGTCTTCTTCTTGGGGCTACAGTGCCCAACATCCCCTAGCTTGCTGTGCTGGCTGGGGGATTCTGGGCTCTGTAGTCCCACAAAAGACCTTTTCCCGAGCTGTAGCTCTTTTGGGGTTGCGCCGTGTGCCCACCAGCTGCTGCCGATCCCTGCAAGGCCAACCTTCCCTTCCTTCTCCTTCCCAGGCTGGACCTCCATGACATTCCCAACTCCATGCGCTTGGTGGCCCCTGACTTTGGGATCCTGCTGGTTGCTGCCCTCTGCCTGGGTGTCTGCAGCCGCCTGGTGCCCACGAAGACAGACCCCCTGACTTCTGGGGGTGGGACGCCGCCGGGCCCCCGCTGGCCTCCAGAGAAGGTGAGCAGCTGCGATGGATGGGCGGGCCGTCGTCTTTCAAGGAAGCCCTAGGGGCCCAAACCAGAAGCTTGGCAAGGCCAGGTTCTGCTCTCTTGAGTTTCCACATCCTTATGTTAAGGGTTGCCGTGGATCAGGCCTAAGTTCTCTCGGAAAAGTTAGTTTTTCGGATTTCAGCTTCCAGATCTCCCAACCAGTGTGGCCACTGATGGAGCTGTAATTCAGAAAGGAACTTTTTCCAGGGAATTCCCCTGTCGAAGAGGAGGCACACTTTTGGATCGTTGCCTCTTCTCGATGCTGAAGGTGCAAACAGAACCATCTCTGCCTTTCTGGCCCTGATCCGCTCCTCCTCCCCCTCCTCCTCCTCCGTGCTTGCTCCTGGAGGGGTGGGGTGGGGGAAGAGAGACACTTTCCTGGCATTCCAGACAACGGATGACTCACACACACACCCGAGGAGGAGAAAGCAGGTTTCCCCACCTCTGCCCGAGTGAGTGAGCGAGCGAGCAAGCGGAGGAGCGAGGAACGGCGATTTTGGCCGATCCCAGGTTGCCATGGAGAGACCCTAACAAACACGCAGAGCTCCAACAGTGGCTGCCTTGTGCAGGGGCTGGATGTGCATCCGCTGGAGGAGAAACACGGCCACCATGACCCATCTGCCTGCTGATGCCCAGCCGCTGTTTAGCACATGCTTGCTCCTGTATGCATCCCAGGAGGCTCCCAAACCAACATCCAGGCTCTTATTTTACAAGCATTCAAGGAGGTTTGTTTGGGAATCCCTGTAAGGCAGTGGTCCCCAACCTTGGGCCTCCAGATGTTCTTGGACTGCAACTCCCAGAAGCCTTCACCACCACCTCTGCTGGCCAGGATTTCTGGGAGTTGAAGTCCAAGAACATCTGGAGGCCCAAGGTTGGGGATCACTGCTGTAAGGGACCATTTCAAGATGCCAGAGTTTTGCCTTTAAAGACATCTCCCATGAGGTGAGCTCTGCCTTGCGAGGCTGGCACCGAACTGACTCCGATCACAGACAGGTTCCCCGTCGGCCCCTAAAGGGCAGATTCGCACATGCAGATCCTTGGCCTGGCTTCAAGCAGCAGGACACCAAATACTCTCAGACACATACCGCCAATTTTTTGGACTCCCAATGTACCCCCTTTGCACTTAAGCCTTGAAAAAGTGGGGTTTTTCTCCACTCTTCCATGGGTGTAATCTTGGGGAACCACACGGCCTTTTCCTTGTTCAGTCAGAAAGACGGATTTTGTATTTCTCGGCATCTGTCCCAGGCTTGGGAGAATTCTTTGTGCTGTGCGTGGTTGCGAAACTGGCCGGGCAGGTTGCGGAACTGGCTTCGGCTGCCACGTTTCCCTTGGCCGTGAGGTTCCCCCCCCTGCCCTCTTCCTTCTCCTCCTCCTCCTCCTCCTCCTCCTGTCCCTCCGCCTGTCATGGACTTCCATGGTCTCATTTCCTGCCCTCGATGCCATGAGTGTGTTCACACATACGCTAAGGTTGGAAATGAGCCTGGGGGAGGGGAGCCTTCCAAGGGGACGGTGCACATCTGGAAATGACAGGGAAGAGGTGCTGCGGAGGAGGTGGAGGAGCAACAGGAAAGGGAAGAGAGAGAAGGGGTTCGGACGTTTGCCTCATTTCTCTGGGGCAGAGAATGTCATCTCTTCTGCCCTTTGCTGGGTACAGAAGGGTGTTGGTGACAGAGGAGAGGAGCTGTTGTGTCACGAGAGGAGCAAGTGTGCAAACCCCGCTGCCAGGGGTGTGCATTTGCACGGCCTGGGGAACCCTGGGAGTTGTAGTCTCCAAAGCCACATCTGCACCCCTCTCGTGGCGGGTGGGTGGGTGACGTTCGCTGGTGCTGGGGGCCAGAGCCTCTGGAGAAGTCTCTCCATACGTCCCGACTCCCAGAGGCCAGGCTGGCTTGGTGGGGGGATGGGAGGATGGGGGGGAGGACTGGTCCCTCAAAAGGGGAGCTTCCCCCAGTGCTGAGACTGGCAGGGAGGGAGGGCGAAAGGCATCTGTGGGGAGGCAAGGAAGGGGTGGAAGAGCTAGGGAGGAATAGTTGAAAATGAGCACCCGTTGTTTTTTCCTATGCCAAGGGACTGCATAAAGGCAATGGGTGCAGAGTCGATGGCCTCTGAGCATATGCAGAGTGCTTCCCCCATCGTAGGCTCACACTCTAGGTTCTGGAGGAGACGGGTTGAGCCCTCCCCCATCTCCCCCCTCATGCTCCCACCCAGGGGTACAGGGTGGTTCTTCCCCCACACGCCCATCTTTTCTCGCCTTCTCTGCTCAGGCCGGAGGCTCAGAAGTCACGCGGCCTTCCTACTCCGTTCTCTGAAGGCAGCGGGGGGGGGGGGGTNTTTGTACATTTCCGGCAGGGCAATGTGCAATGGATCCAAGCTGGACTGGGAGCCCCGTGGCCGGAGCCTGGCCAGCAGGGAGAGGAGGTGGAGCGAAAGACCTTTGCTGTGAAAGCCACACCAGGCTGGAAAATCACTCCGGCCAACCCGAGCAGGGCAGCCAAGAAAAACAGGCCAGTGTGGAAGAATGCGCTTTCCAAAGCAGGCTAATGAAATAAACAAGGCCAGGTGGGGGGG